ATGCATATATATATATATATATATACATATAATTCGGTTACGTGGCTATTGTATTGTATTGTTTTCGCTCTGCCAAAGATTCTCGATTATCAAAGTTTTAGTGTTGATTTTGTTTCTGAAAATTGGATATATTATTGCAATTACATTCTAGATACTGTTTCAATTTAATTCATACATAAATTTGCGTTTTTCTTTGGCATTTGAATCGAAATTTCATTAAGTTTATTTAGTCACGTGATAATTGCAAGTACATTGATTTGTAAATACAGTTTTGTTCCACCTGTTTATTATGAATACACGTCAAAATCCAAGTAAGAAAGACGTTGTACTTACGGTGAAACAGCTTCAATGTTTTCAATGTGAGTGCACGGCTAATGTTGATTCCATGTCAGTGGCGGATCCAGACAGGGGTGTAGGCTAAAATTTGGTAATGTTTACATTTTCACCGGAGGGGAACAAAATTTTTACGGGGGGTGCCAAGATTTGTGATTTTGTGGCATTTTTTTGCTTATCACGTTATATTTTTGGTCGATTTTGCACATAATACGGTTCTTTTTCTTCTTTTCAGACTTTTATTAAAAAAACTGCATACAACGGGGAGGGGGATTAAAGTCCCCCCGGCCCTCCTTGATCCGCTACTGAATGCTGTTACTAAGTGGTAAATAATAATAGTTACCTTTTGATGAAAATTGCAAATTTTTTGCTTTCTTTGGGTATGAAAAAATTAAATTCTCAATAAAATTTTTCCAAAATATTAGCACACGATATTGTAGAATTTTCTCTGACTTCACAGCTTGGTTTAGTTTGGCTCAGCCTTGCACCTTCGAACCGGTTTGGCTCGGTTTGACTCAGCTTGGATTTTTATTGGCATAATTTGGATTTTAAGCTAGGCTAAGCCGCGTCTTTATCAACACTACTTCTCAAGCTGTATATGTACCGTGAAAATTCTTTGCGCTTATTGTTTTTTTTAATCGCATCACTGTTATCTGTGTCTTCTTGGTTAGTTTGTGTATTTCTCATTCGGTGAATTGCTTATTCCCTTGCAGCGTTTTGATGGATGTTAATAACAAAAATGTTTGTTCAGCAAATTAGATATTCAGATGCCTTTTGGTTTTTGTTGCGTATAGTATATCATCATTATTATTTATAATTTTTATTTAATAGAACATCATGTTTGTCTATTGGATTTTATTTAATATTCTTTTGGCTAATGTTGTTATAGTCGTTCCTTTATACTCTGCGTCTAAGTATTTAGGCATGCTCCGATGTGCAAAATTACGTCATACAAAGGCTCGTTGGCACGAAGTCGAAAACGTACATTTTTATATGAAAACGTACACAATGTTAGTGTCGTTCGACAACACGCATGTTCATGTACCATCAAATATAGAGAAGATTCAACATCTTCATTCACCACGATGACATATTAAGCTAAATAATTTATTCTTAAACAATAATTTTGATGTTGCATTGCTGTCGGTAATAAAATATTACCATCACTAATTTCTATCACAGGTTCTTTATCACAAGTTCATCTTTTCAAGTTCATTATTATTCATGTTGTTTTTTTCATGAAAGTTCATTGTGCTGAATAATCCCACTTTAAGGAGCATTAACATTTATATAAGTGAACTTGCATTCCATAAAATTAGAAGCGTGGAGAGGAGCATGAGAACAAACAAACAAACAAGCAAACAAACAAACAAACAGACAGACAGACAAACAAACTGATAAGAAGGCAGCATAGGAGGAAACACGATGATAGCGCACACATCAATTAACATTTGGACGCACGCACGAAACTGAGCTACCCCACTCATGATTTAGCAGACGCGTTTTTAGAATTGAAGTTTTATTTCAGTGATTTACTGAAACTCATTATTTTTACGTTTTTAGAGACGATATTCTTTTAAGAAATCACATTATACGCATGATTGAAATGTGAATGGAAGCAAGTATAGTTCCTAATATTTTGTTTCGATAATTTATTTTATTTTGATGTTAACTATAAATTCAGCATCACAAAAAATTGATAATCAAATTCATTTATTTATTACAAATTTAATATATAATATATATTAAGTCATAAACATAATATGCAATAGATTGATAATTACCAGTTGACTACAATAAAAAATGTATGACAGATTACTTACAATTTATTATCTATGTATACGAGTTGTATGTACACAATTTATAAAAGGAATGGATGTATTTATAATAAGCTATGGGTATTTTCTCTCATGGTAAACAAGAAGCAAAAAAATCCAATTTATTGGAAGATAGTGCCCAAGCCGACAAGTGAGTCTGCAGAAGAGACGCTCAATCATTTAAAAAGTAAGTCGGAAAGTAACGACATCAAATGGTTCTAAATACATTCCCTCATAATAATAATGACAAGCTCCTTTACAATAAATGCCGTTTCTGTCGCAAGCTTCTCCAACTGCTTTTTATGTCATTTTTGAAATAGTAATTAATTTGCGCCACAAACTTGTTATATTTTAAATTTTGATTTCAATAAGTTTTGTCAGCAATTCATGCCATTCGCATGTTTCTTGATTATTTTAGATTCAATTAATTTGTTTTTGATCAGAAATGTCATCAATTTATGAATCTGAAATTAAAATTTGTAAAAAGGTGTTTGACTCGTGATATGGTTTCAGCATCTGGTTGCAGCTTTTATTCAGACTCAGTTGGGCTATTGTAATTTTTCGCTTTACTCTGTCAATCTGGAAGTGCTCAAACATATTCAGTCTGTTCAAAATTCTGTCGCTAGGCTGATTCATAGACCGAGAAAGTTTGATTATATTTCTGAGGATTCGAAGTTTTCTCAAAGACTTTTTTTAAGCAGATAATACTATTAAAGCTTGCAGTGTTAGTCTTCGAATGTTTGAACGGTTTTTTCAGGTCAATTTAGAGCCTGATTGTCAATCTGTTGGTTTGCTGACGTTATAGACAGTCTTTTGAGGTGCTCCACTGATGGATTGTTCTTGGTGTCGAGTCTCTTGTTTCCGACCTTTTTGTGTTCAACTCTGCTTTGTAATCTTTTAAAAAGCTTCTTGTGATCTTGTGAACTTTATATTTTTCGGCAGGCTTCTTTCGGATTTGAAAGTCCATTGTTGTTGTGTTGTTGGTTGTTTATACCGATTGCTGTCATTATTTTTATTTTATTTATTTTTATTTTACTTTGTATGTATTCTTCTGTTATGTGATACAATAGTTTGACTGGATGGTTTTTTGATGGCTTTCTTTTCTTTTGCATTATATACTGGTTTAAGTGTGTATTCTATGCTTGTTATATCATTGTGATGTGTAATGCATTGTTTAGGCTAATTGTTTGTGATATATTATTTCACTACGGAAAATGTGGATAAGTGAAATGCTTGAATGAAAAATAAAAAAATGCGAATAAGACTTTATTTCGCACGATTGACTGACCAGATAATGTTTTATAATTAACAGATTTTGTGCACATGCACACGTACATTCACATACACAGGTAATCAACATACACATGCACATTTACACGCTCATGCATACATACATACACAGACTAACGCACATAAACACCGGTGCTCGTACGCACACGATCGTAAATATGGTTTAATTTTTAAACAAACGAATCAGCCATTCGCGTTTTTTGACTCAACGGTTTTTGATTTTTAAAAAAAATATATGCTCAGGTCAATTGATCTCTTGGGATTAGTTTCAGTTTCATGCTAACGAGAAAATTCAAAAAAATTATTCAAATTTGAAATGATAACTTAAGGTTGTATTTTTAACACTTATTTATAATATTTTAAAAATTACAAACCACAAATTCATATGCGAACAAAATAATGAAACTAATGTATTGAAAGTTGTATGGACAAATGAATTTGTTCCATTTGCCAAAAACACATTGTAAGAGACGACCATGATCGTTCACGCGTGTCACTTATCGTGCAAATGGCTTAGCAACCAGAGAACCAAACAAAAAATATGTGAAGCAATTCTTGCAGGACAATCAATCAAGTTCCGTGCTCGCAGTTACAATCATGGATTCGATAACATCATCAATCATGCACTCGCTCTAATAAAGTCCCGCCAGTAAATAACAAAAGCAAGGCCGCCGCTTGATACGCTGGCTATCAATTTCAACGAACATTATGCTTCATTATTATTTTAGGACATCATTTTTATGTTTGTTTTTTTATATTTTAGTCAGTACTTTTATGAAAAAGAAAATGCTGAAAAACATATTTTTGAGGATCTATAAAAAACTCTAGAAAAGAAATCGAATTAAAAGCACGTACATTTCAGTAATTGTCTTCTCAGTGAAGTATAAATTGCTTCTACTTGTCCATTTTTGTTATTTATTATTCAACTCTGCTTACAATTTTGCTTTTTATATACATAAATACAATGTTTTGTTATGTAATTTTTTAAATAAAAAATTTCATCAAACTCGAAATAGATGATTTTTAAAGAATTATCAAGCAATTTCGTATTTTAAAATGTTTTTTTTTTATTGAAAAGTGACAGCGTTTCGTCGGGCATCTACGAAACGAAGCATGAAATGAATATCACCACATCGGCACTGAAGTTTCTAGAACCACAACTTCAAATAAGACACTCGCACTGCAAACCCAAGCACTCCACACTAATCAACACCGCAAATGAGTTTACAAGTACAGCTATCAATTATTCCATTTTATATTAAACTGCATCGTTATCCTCATCGATATTCATCGCATATTGTGAAAAGAAAAATTGTTAAAAAACTACTTTTTTGTGAAAATTCTTGTAAACATTTCAACACATAAATTATGAACACGTTATTAGTTTTTTTCTAGTAAGATTCATTATTTAAAATTTATTATACAAAAATTAAAACAAGATTAGAGCAAACAACTGGTCTGACCAAGTAAAAAACGTGAGCACACAACAAAATTACACAGCCAAATAGATCAATAATGCCTGCTGATTTGTTGATAAAATTCCATTTATAACAGACTAACCTTCTTCTTAGATTGGAGTTGTTGGAAATCTCTGGATCTGTCGGCGTTTCCAGGTGCGGTCCTCGTCCACAACTTGCGACTGACCATACCGTAGGTGTAGGTCAAGATGAGGAGGGGTAGCAAATAGGTGACGAGGAAGAGGTAGATGGTGTAGAGGCGGCAGTAGAGGTCCTCCGGCTCTGGCCAGATCTCGGTGCATTCAACGCTTTCGAAAAGTTTCTAATAATAATGTAATAATTTTTTTTATAAAAAAAAATGATCAAAATAATCATGCATAGATGTGTATGCATAATTTAAAGCAATGATGATATTTTTGTAACGTCTTGTTCCTGGCATTAGGTGAAAAATGGAGCTCTTGTAAATAAAAATGATTATAAATTGAAAAAAAAGTTAAAATTAATGAATGAGATCAATTTTAAAAAGTATTGTTGATGTAGATAGATGGAAATATTTATGAGAAGTCTAACATCATCTGTATTAACCACTTTTACTCTGCCAACAAAAATTTGGACACTGGAAAGCAAAAGAGATAGAAGCCAAATGCAAGTTATCACCAATCGAGATCTGGATTTTGTTATTCGGGATTTCAAGGGATAATATACAACCCAGAACCTAGGAAAATAATTAGTTTTTTTTTATTAAAAAACTCTATCAAATGAAGTTATTTTGAAAGCATTAATAATTTGTTCTTGAAAAACTTTATTTTTCATTAGTTTCCTATCGACGATTGACAATTAATTCTTCGAACTATGAAATGAAAAATTTGAAACTGAAACGATCAAAATAAAAGATGTCGAAATATGGAAATGGAAAAAAACAAACCAACCGACCTATCGATGCCTATGGCGGTGATGGTGCAGACGCTGGCTGTCACGGAGAGGCTCTGCATGAAAAGGACCACCGGACACATGGGGAAAGAGAAGATCCACGTGCCCAGCATTGTGCCTAAATGCAAGCATTTCATTCATTTTTATTCAACATATTAAATAATACATATATGGTCAGAATTTTTTTAATATTTTTAATCGCTACAATCAAATATACAACTGACTAATCATTGCTTGTTAAATAAGATTTGCCAAAACAATATGCATAAATAAATTCTGGCACAGTTGGAACTTTCAGGATATTGGTGGAATAATTTTTGAAAATAGCTTAAACATGTCAATCTTCATTTGACAGGGATAGCATTTCATTAGTCAATAATCTTTGTTATTCGTTTAACATTTCTCTATTATATATTTTTAAATGTGTTTATTTAGTTATTTATTTAATAATTTATTTATTTACTCATTTAATAATTTATTTATTTCATTTATTCATTTGTTTATTTAGTTATTCATCTGTTTATTTACTAGTATTTCCGTTTAGTTACTAACGATATTGAATAAAAATTCAATAACTCGATATTTTATTTATGACACTCATTTTCATCACTTTACATTAGTCCGTTCATTTTTTCATTTTCAAAACATTGGCAGTTTGCGTGTTGTTACAGATTTTGGTAAAGTAGAAATTTTTTAAGATAGAAAAAAAATGAAAAACAACGATTTGAAAAATTCCCAATCTTTCAGACTTGTTTTTTTTAATCATTTCATCTAATCATTTGTTTCCGTCGGTTTATTAATTTCGGGATATATCAAAGACATTGATGATATTTTTTAAAAATAAACTTGGCGAGTAAAATAATTGTTGTAAAAATGGATGGGTATAATTATTTCAGCCAACATCCAGATAATGACTATATGTCACTTACGCCCATTAAGTCAACTGATGGTATTTTTTCATGTTTGCGAGCATCGTGTGTACTTCTGAGCTAGAACACTCTCATGGTAGGGACGTGGTTAAAGAATTTATAAATTTTAACAAGGAATACACATATATGTATTATATATATATATATATATATATATATATATATATATATATATATAACTTGCAATCAACACATGCAACTCCAATAACCGCCAAATTCTTGACAACAACACAAAAATAATTTATTAAAACACCAACACAATACATCTAAAAATTGCAGAAGCTGTCCTAATAGATATTAATAAACCCCCGATAAACATCCAATAAAGAATGATAACATCATTACCAACTCGACGTTTTAATACTAACTTCAATAACGATAAAGAACAATGGAATGACAACAACAAAGATGAAGAATATAACGCAAACTAATGAACTTTGCTAAAGAACTTGGCATTGTTTAAAGAAACTATATAAACCAAGCCTGCACTAAAGATGATTTGTGAAATATCAAAATATTCCTATATAATATATATATATATATATATATAATCAAAACAGCGTACTAATTTTTATCTTTAAACCAAACATGAGCTGCATGTTTGTGTATTCGCGAAGGTTATTGAGAAGTTAATCCAGAAAATAAACTTTTGTGATTTAACATCAGGAAGCAATTGTTAAACGCATGCAATACAATGTTTATTGAGAAAACTCATACTGAACTGTTGAATGCAGTTTTTTGTTAAAAAGAAAATAAAGCGCTAACTTGTGAATGTGAAGGGCATGCAGAAAAGGGCCATGACCAGATCAGCTCCAGCCAAGTTGACCAGGAACCACCTGAGATCCGTCCTGGATCGACGACCCACAAGGAAGACAACGATGACCAGAGCATTCCCAACAACAGACATCAGGGTGGTGAACGTGTAGATGACGATTAGGAGAATTTGTGTGGAGAAAGAGAGAGAGAAGTCATGTTGTTGCGGAGTGTCGGTACCCTGCTGATGCAGGGAGGCGTTCAAAAATAACGATATTGAAGTGACGTTTTTGTTGAAGTTGTCATCGAGAGGGAATAATTGATTGTTTTGCAGGTGTTGAACCAATATCGATGAAATATTTGCATTCATTTTTCATTCCTCCTGCTGTCCTTCTCTTTATTTCTTATTGATTAATGTTTACCATTAACTAAAAATAAAATTATATTACTCAAACAGAACTAATTGTAACGATTGATATTTTCAAGCTGGGTTCAATAATTTTTTATTAAATTGAAAACTTGATGTTGGTTAATATAATACTTTCTCGCCTGCACCTAAACACCTAGTACAACTGGCAATAAAAAAAATTAGATGCAGTGTTAATCAGATAAGAAGTCCCTCAAGAATCAATGCAGTGCCAACAAACAAACCTTGATTTGGTTGGCGGCTGGTGAACATGCTCCTTATAACGCTTAAGCACGTAGCACATATAATTCCTCATACGAGTATAGGTAGGTACAGGCAAGCAACTGAACATTTCGTACATTGTATTGCACTGAGTGAATGAATACATTTGAATAAAATCAATTTAAAACACTCTAGTAAAAAGTGAACACATCTGTTCGTTTGGTTCGTAAAACAAGATAAATAATTAAAAGTATTTATAAATAAATAAATATATATATAAATAAATGTATAAATAAATTTATATACCAGCAAATTAAATGTATACATAATATTATTTATTTAATAATGGAAAATTTTGAAAAAATAAGGTGAATACATTTTTTTATAAGTTTGTTAGGTGTAATTAATTTAATGGTGAAAAATGCTAAGTCCATTAACGAGCTATGTAGCACAACATTTATAAGAAATAATTTACTTAATTTCCATGCAATCAGCATTAAATGTGATTACGTGATGGATGAATTGTCGCACAGCTATTGATATTTTTAATGTTTATGCAGATTGACGTTGAAAATATAAGAATGATGCTAATGACGTTGATGATGATGATGTTAATGATAAGACGGTTATGTTAATGACGATGATGACGATGCTGTTGTTTTTGATGTTAATGTTGACGATGATAATACTGTAAACGCAGATGTTGAATTGCTGTTTCAATAAAATAATTCATACGGCTTAAGATAAATAACAGCAAACATGAAACAAAACGGACCTGAGGATTAGCTCAGTTGGTAGAAGATTAAACATTCATACAAAAAGTAGAACAAGTAGAACACCATGTCTCGCGCAGTTATAATGATGTGGATAGTACAGATTTTGTGGCACGAAAGTTTAACTATGAAGTAGCCTATACAGTGAGGTGTATGTAGTTTCTGCAATGTCGGAACTGCATAAAAGAAATCATTAGTTGAAAGTTTATATGAAGTTGATATTTTGACAGACATTCTAACTACTCCAAGCAGTTTTAAGCTTATTCAGTTTTTAATTTTAATTTCAATAAAAAGTTACCTTTCTTTACAGCACAAACTTGTAACAATCAAAGATATATTATACAATTACGTCGTGTTACTGAATATCGTATTGCTCTGAGTCTTATTATAATTGTTTCATGTTGAAAGTTTTCCATTTATCACGAGCAAGTCATCAATTATCTACTGTGTACAAGTCTGGCTGGAGTCTAAAAAATATTTAAAATTCAAACCAGTCCTATTTGTTTTAAAAATTTTCAAATCGTCTTCTGGAAGCTTCAACGATGATTAAATTGGAATATTTGCTGTTTACAGTCTGCGCAAATACAAAATGAAGTCGACAAGTGATCTGCCTCAGTTTCTACGTTGGTATTATCTTCACAAATGAAAAGGAAACAGGATATTGTCTCGGTATTGATTTTCTTCAGACGATCGACAATGTCGAAAACTTCCAATTTCTTTACATTATTTTGCGATAAAAGCATTCTACATAATTTTATTTTGTCGCTGATATTTTACAATCGCTCAACGAGATTTGTAAACTACCTAAAAAAAAACTGTGCGTATTGTTACTAGAATAATAAATGCATCAAGCTGGTGTTTTAACTGGGGCTACTGATGAGTCCTATAAAGGAACAAAACCGGTCTAGTCTAGAACGAGTTAGGTGTTCACTGAGACATCTTTGGTTGTGGTGAGTGAGAGTGTACAATATGTACTCAAATTGGCCATCGTATGCGCAGTAGCAGGTCGATAATTTCTCAACTTTATACATACTTTACAACTATTAGCGGAGTAACAGTAGCTTTCTATCGTTCAAATTAGAACATATTCAAATTAGAGGCAAGTGGGACTTGAAATTTGTTTCCAATTCCATCTCATTTTTGTTTGTCATTTCCGATTCCATCCCGAATTTCTATTTATGACAACGTTCCCGAAAATTCCCATTTTCCATTTTTCAAATTCATTCCCGCGTTTTTCCTCCCGGTTCCCTCCCATTCCCTTTTTTCCCATTTAGCAAATTTTTGAACACTAAAAATAAAATTTAAAAAAAGATATCAAGAATGTGAATGTAATCCATACTAAATAAAAATCCAAAAGCTCTAAAAAGTATTAAAACAACATAATAAATTTCAGTTATAAAAATTAAAACAATTTTATACATGTCTATGAATATAAATATATACTATATTGTAAGGGTTCAACAACTGTTCCCAACAATAAATTTTATAATCGTTCCCGAAATGTAGCGATGACTGCGAATGTGGACACCGGCTGTCACGTTGTCTTCGGAGCTTCTGGCGGAGGCCTCGTTGACTGCCGACGTGTTGTCACTTCACCGCTGTTGAAATGCCGCGTCGTTTGTTGAGCACACTGTCAACTCCCGTTTGCTGAATTGGTGTGTATCTTGTTGAATGTGTTGTCAATCCACGTTGCTGAACTGACGTATCGTTTGTAGAACGTAATGTCGCTTCACGCTTGCTGAAGTGACGGGTAGATTGTCGAACGCGTTGTTAACTCACATTTGCTGAATTGACGTGTCGTTCGTTATCAGGTTTGCCCTGACTACTATGGAGTCCAATAACCACCAAAGTGACTGCTTTACCGACTGTACCAGCCACTGACGTAACTGCCTCCACCAACTGTACCAACCACCGCCGTAACTGCTTCCACCAACTGTACCAACTACCGACGTAACTACTACCGCCAACTGCACGAACTACCAGCGTAACTTCGAGAGTTTTTGAACTACCACCAATTACTACTGACCAGCTTTCGCCAACACCAACCGAACTATATCTTTATCTCCCTTAAAACTTCCCGGGTCTACTTATTTATACAACTCTGTACAACACCTTATTTATACTTATTTATACAACTCTGTATTGGCTGCTATTTTTACCTGCTTTCTTGCCATTCGTCTATCACCACTATCACAATGTATTCCTACCCTTTGCATTTTAATTTACCGGTCGCAGCTAAAACCCTGACATATGTACTATCGGAATTTTTGAGCTGTTGGGTTGGCGATAAGGAACTAATTGTTCGTGCCGGTAATGCTGATCAATCGGTATATACCGATTCAGAGAATGCCGTGGCAAAATGCAGATTAACAATAAATTACGAAATCATAAAACACACCAGATAATGCAAAATTTTTCAAGATTAAAAACTGTGGTAATTTGGTAAAATGCAAAAAACAGAAAGGATTCATAAATTTGAAAAAAGTAGCTGCCAATGTTTAGGCTCAGGTGTGGCTCCATGTTCTTACGGATTATTGACCACCTGAATAAAACGTATACTTAATTATAAATGCTCAAAAAACATTGACCGTTGTTTTAATATCAGTATTATTAATTTTAAATTGTCGAAGGGTTAATTTTCAAAAACAAACAAGATAAATTTTCATAATTCGGCTGTCAACGCCACAAGCTCATCGAGATCGATTTCTTAATGGTAGTCAGTTGTTCGGCAGACATCTGGCAACTATGTTCAGTGAATCCTTCAGCCCTCAGATGGTCATGCTCCTCTGTCTGCGCCGGTCACCAACAATCGTATCTGGTTGTAGGTCATCCAGTTGAAGATCATCTTTAATCAAATGTTTGAAATATTTATACAAGTTTCAATTTAATGGTTGTACGTGAATAACAAAATCTAGATTTAATTTAAACCATCAATCCAAACTAATATTTAAGTTTTGCTCTTATTTGATATTCGAAACTAAAAAAATTGTTAAATTTTAACATACAAAACTATTTAAAACGTGTTTAAAAAAATCAGAATGTAATCTGCACCAAATTAAATTTTTTTAAATTTTATCACGAAAATTTTTTGAAAGTGGTGCGGATTGAATATCAGGAGTTCTCGTTTGAAAATATAAACTTGTTCTCATTCATCATAAAAAAGAAGGAACAACTTAACTTAACGATTGTTCAATGCTAATGACAAGCACTGAACAAATGTCAATCAACCTAAAAATTAATTATGAAATTCATAATTTCAGTAGTTGATAAAGCATCCAAGATCCTGGCAGCAAATGCTCTTCCACATGAATATGGTTGAGTGAGGTGGAATGAAGTGTCTGGATCGTCGTCATCGTCTGGTCTATGAACATCACCTTCTCGTTGTTTTTTGTTTTGTAAATTACTTTTTGGGATTAAAAGAAAAAACATGGTAGTCTACAAACTATAGAAAAAAATATAACTTTTTAAAATTATTTCCATAAAACTGGTAATAAAAATTCATTATATTTTTTTTTGTTTCAAGTTTGAAATTTTACGTTAGCATATGTAATATCAGGAAAATGACAAGAAAGTCTTGTTAGTACTTAGTTCTGTAAGCAAAGGTATGGATGTTGACGAGCCAGCATTCAATGCATTCTCCCTTTCTAAATTCAAAACTTTGTTAATGTGTCAGAAAATTTTTTACAATTTGAAAAAAGCACGACGTATGACGCAATGTCAACGAAAAATTGTAAGCAACGAACAACCAAACTACAGTAATTTCATCAGTTTACAGAGCTCGTTCAACAGAAATTTACAAATGTTTTAGCAACTCATGAATAATAAAATTTAGAACAGGTTATTTGTTTCACTTGAGTCGGATTTGTATCCTTCACAGAGAATGGCATTGAAAACGTCAAATGTGGCAATAGTATATTTGTTTGAAACACCTCTGTACGACATGTTCTTTATGTTCAACGTTACCAGCGGAGCCTTGCTGTCATCCTGAAATGATGAAAAATCTTTGTCGTCAAATGATGAAGCATCGGCAAAAACGGAGGAGCTGGCTGTGCTAGTCTCAGTCAAGTGTACGACAGTCATGTGGCACTTTTCCATGTTGATACTTCTTAACACGCCTCTACAAAGCGAAGAGCTCTGTAGTCGTTTTGTTCAGATTTTTCACTGAAATGCTGTTTCTTGGATGCATTTTGTGTTTTTACTTGTTTGTTTTATTTAATAGGCATTCTCCCATGTTGTGAAAAACAAAAATTAAATGACGTAATTGTAATTGACGCTTGTATCTTGTAAGTTTTTTATTCTTCAATAATCTAAAACTTTTTAAAAAAGATTGATATTATTCGAAGCAGACTAAGAATTTTGAAGCACAACTTTTGAAAGTTGAAAATCGAGTGCCACTCTTGTTCTGAAAAATTTGCCGATTCTGTTACTGCCACCAGCGCACGCAGTTCTGAACTCGTCAAAGGACTTGACCTCAAAGGAAGGGTGAATCTACGAAGGTACCCTTGAAAAGTTTGTTGTTTACTATTTGGACTTGTTTAGAATTATTTATTCTGAATAAATTTTAATTTAAAAACTGTTCATGTTTATATATGATAATATATTTTCTTGATTTGAAAGTATGTAACATAAAAAATATATCTTATTGATGGTTTTGTTTAATTGAACTCATCGACCTGCTACTGATGAGACCAGCACAATACGATGTGGTTCTTCAAAGTTTTCAACATGTCCTCATTTTTAGCTGAGCCATGCAAATATTAATTCGTCTGAAATAAATTAAAAATTTGAAACCGTATTGCGGTTATCCGCTTGGGGCTCTAGTGTGGAAGTACAGCCACTAGGCAATAAAAATTTTTTCTCTCCATACACATCATGCACGCGGAGGCATGGCACTTCTACCGACTGAGTTAACTCGCCGTCCATAATATACATTTAAATGATTTTAAATATCATTATCAAACAACAGTTTTTATTAAACAAATATTCCACACTTTTAAAAAGTTAGCATAAGTACAAAGACTAACTATACAAATAACGAATTTTCAATTAATTTGTTTGCGTTCAATAATTTTTAGCTATAATTTGCATTCATTAACTATTATAAAAGGCTATCAAAATATCCCTATTATTGTCTGTAAACAAATGAAAAATGAAATTCAACTGGAAAACATTTACCATTTTGTTTTCGTTTTGTTAACATTTCTGCAAATTGAAATATTTACGAGATAATTAAAATGAACACCTCTGCACTTGATTTGCTTACAGCTTGGAATGGACAGCGCAACGAACGGATACAACGTGAACACGCAATAAGACATCGTGGCGTGGTGCTTTCCAGCCTGATAACCATAAAAATTAAAACTTCTAGTGCATCAATAAAAATTTGAAATTGAACTGAAAAATAAAAACTGATGTAGATTTTTAAAATTTCATCCATAAAATATACAAATTCAAATCAGACAATCAAGTAAACTAGGAATCAAACTTTTTGTTTTGTTTTTCATTTCTTAGTTTTATCTTCCAACGTTAATGCTGAGCTCCATTTAAAAATGAAATTTATTAATAGCTGTACACAATGGGCAGTGTATCAATTATAGATTCCGATTGTTTAACGGAACACACATAATATGCTAATTACCCCTTAAGAATAAAGAATTACAATGCATATCTATTTTAGAAATGCCATTGTTTCTTATTCAATTTTTTACATTTATAAAAAATTGATAACTGATTTTTAAATTAAGAAAGTTAAAAGTGGATTCAAAAAAATTTAGTTTTTGATGAATTAAAATGGTTGAAAGGTTTCACCGTTCCCGTTTTAAACATTTTCACTCTTTTGCCAAATCTGCGTTTGCTTTTTCTGGTCCTTTTCTCTGGAACTCTCTACCTACTTCTCTGACTACTTCTCCATCACTTGCGAAGTTCAGAGCGGATCTCAAGATCCATCTGTTTTCAAAATTCATTGAGGAGCGCTGTTGAACATCGCGGAAATAGCGCTTTATAAGCTGATTGATTGATTGATTGATTGATTGATTGATTGACTGACTGACTGACTGACTGACTGACTGACTGACTGACTGACTGACTGACTGACTGACTGACTGACTGACTGACTGACTGACTGACTGACTGACTGACTGACTGACTGACTGACTGACTGACTGACTGACTGACTGACTGACTGACTGACTGACTGACTGACTGACTGACTGACTGACTGACTGACTGACTGACTGACTGACTGACTGACTGACTGACTGACTGACTGACTGATTGATTGATTGATTGATTTGATATGCTGGATATTTTTCAACAAGTAGGGGAGACCGGAGCGAATTGAACCAATTATTTTTTTATTTTTGCATTGAAACTTCTTAAAGTAGGTCATTTTTATGTAGAAATATGTCTTTTACATAACTTAAAAAATTTTAGCGTGTTTTTTTGACAATAGAAGGGCATATTTGCATGCCTGTCATGCGGTTAAATCTACCCCGTCTACGGGGCATGTTGCACCAATTACCGGGACAGTTGAACCAATATTAAATTACTCTTGTTGCTAAGGAATTTTATTTTTTTAGTTGAATATTTTTAAATCTGAAAATGTTATTAAAGTCAAATTTATTTTTTAACTTTAGAAAAACAAAAAAATTCAACAGAATAGTTATTGGACTATTCAATCAATAAATAAATAAAATTTAATTGCGTAATTATTTTCCACATATATAATTCTAACGAAAAATAAATGTATTTTTAAAATTTATTTTAATCATCCAGGGACTAATACGGGATTTACGTGACGATTATAATTTATTTCAAAAAGATTTAGATTTCAAATGTTTTTCGTTAGTTATAAGTCTCGCTAGCTTATAAGTTTTATACATCAAAGTGGCCGACACTAAAAAGATCTTAGTGAATAAAATTTCCTTTTGAGATTGCTTCTTTTTTTGAAAATTAAAACAGAAAACAAATTAAAATTAAAATTTTTTGACGAATAACAATTCAATTTCATCAGCTGTACAAATTTGACAAAATAATGCATTCCAGAGTTATCCATAGAGAAGGTGCAAACTAACACACACTGTTGCACAAACTGACAACTTCTGCAGACCATTTCACATTTGAACCGGTTCAGCACGTTCATGTACTAATTTTAATCGTGGTTGTTTTTTCCCGAATTTGTTTAAGTTTAACACTATCTTTAACATACCTGACGATGTCATTGTTTAATTGTATTAAAATGAATTATTCAAAACGATGCCGCTGCCAAATATATATTATAAATTTTTTTTTAATTTTAATATATAAAAATAGGTAGGCATAAGAATTTGATTTGATAAAGGCATTTGATTAAGTAAACTTTTCATTTTATTGACTATCTATAATAAATGTTAAATCGGAAATAATCGTTATAATGAGATCAAGGCTGTAGCCAGGATTATTTTTCGGGAGGGGGGGCTGTTGGAATTTTTTAAAATTTTAAAATCAAGGAAAAAACAACAAATCTTATCAAATCAGCTTTTATTTACAAAATAAAAAACCCAACAAAATTATATAAACAAAAGTTAAATTTTGGTTAAATCCGTTAAATGTTCCAAAATCATGTCGTTGTCTACTTGGATATAGATATATCGATATCCGGATAAATAAATAGATAGTAGTGCCAATGAAGTGAGTTGCTCCTCATTAGAGCTATTTTTCAAATAATTTTTAATTCTTTTCAGTGTTGAAAAACTTCTTTAAAGTTTTAAACTGTTGACGTTATCGTTGATACCGCTGCCATAATTTATAACAGTGCCTGAATATTTGGAAATAGTCTGGAATTGTATTCTGCTAATGCCTCAATGGCTGTTTTTGGCCTATTTTTTATTCTCATTTTCATTTTTCCTGCTGTTTTGTTCTTTTCTTGGCAAACCTTTTCTTTAGAACCTCAACGCAACAGAAATTTAAAAGTGAAAACGGGAGGACGATTAATGCATAAATATATTTAAAAGTGAATAGCTATTAAGACTGTTATTTATATGAATGTTGATATTAAGGTTTTAACCATATAAATCATGGATATATATAGTATCCATGATATAAATAGAATATAGATAAATATTTTATTTTACATCATCTATTTTAACCATATAAATAGAATATAGATAAATAGTTTCTTTATTCTATTTATATGGTTTTAACATGGATACATATCCATAAATCCATATTATATATATCCATGGGTTTTAACGTAAAATACTGAAAAATGTTTTAAAATTATTAAATCAAAACATTTTTTTTAACTTTCATCAATTATTTAATAATTTTGTAGGGTTAACATAATAGTTTCGGTATTATTTTAAAGAGATAATTTTTACTTTGTAGGCACTTTGCTTGCATGGTTATGTGCGTAGGAATTAAAATAAATTAAAATAAACGTTCATTTAATTATATTTGCATGTATTTTAACGTAATTTGACAAGTAGGCATTAAAATAAACATCCATGCATTTTTGCAAGTATTTTACCATGTAATTTAACGGATAGGTATTAAAATAAACACATAATTAAGGATTGCTACAAAAAATTATCAATGTAAATTTTATTGGGGGCTGCAGCCTGCCAGCCTCCGCCCCCAGCTACGGCCTTGAATGAGATTAACTGCTAAAAGATTCTTGCAAGAGTTTTATTATTTCTCTATTGTTTATTGCCTGAAACAGTTTTCCAATGGATTCATCTAAAGGTGTTGAATTTCTGTGGAATGGTATTTTTAATTCATTTCTAACATAATTATAGAGTACTCTGGTTCCTGAAAATCATACGCAAAGTATAAATTAATGGCGGTAAAATTTATAAACAAAAATTTATTGAATACTTAATTGATTAAAAACAATGAAAAATCATAAATTATTTGCAAAATAATTAAACAAAATTATTAAACCTGAACCGAGTTGCTCGCACACGTGGCTAATGTGCTCGTTTTTATTTAACATGAGATCCAATTGCTCGCATTCAGTCTTAAGGCAAGTTGTAAGTTGATTCAAAGATGTTGTATCAATATGGTGTTTTCCCGTCAATAAAAACCATAAAGAATCATCATTTTTTAAACGATTTTTC